GTCTGCCAGCGTCCTTCTCTGCTAGAGAAAAACCCAGAGGTTAGAAGAGTGAATACAGTTCCTTTTCCTCACTGACTGTAAAAGGTAGGGTAGAGTCCTCCCTGGGTCGTCCCACACCAAGGCAAAGTAGTCACGGCGTCTTGCACCAGCTTATTCTTTACCTCAGCTCTTCTGTGTACAAGCGCACAGAGGGCCCGCTTGTCACATCCCCCAGGAGTTGCCTGTTACCCTCACTGCCACCTGAGAGCCACCAAAACCCCAGGCAGACATTGCCGCCTTTCCGTCATCCATGGAGTCAGGCACAGGTGTAGAGACTCAGCCCCGAGCCTCCCGACGTCCTCACTGTCTCCTGCGTTCGCTGAGAGCCCAGGCTTTTCTTCCCACCTGGGGGACTTGCGTCCTCAGCAGAGACCCTCAGGGTCCAGCTGTGGCCCTGGGACATTGGCTTATAAGCAGCCTCATTCGGATTAGAGGAGTACACTTGACCAGTCCTCGGTCTGTCTGTGTTTTAATTGTACTTCACCCTCGCAAAAATCAAACCATCTGAAAGCCAAAAGGCAGAGAGGTTTTTGATGAGTAGAAATTAAAATCCTGTGGCATTTCATTATCAGACAGAATTCTGCCATTTGCTTTTGTCTCCCCTTAGAGCGAATATACTGTTATTTTCTAATTCTAAAAATAATGCATGCTTATTGTAAAACTAACTCCAGGACATAGAGGAAAGCAGACATTACCCATGAGCCCACATTCAAGTTAACCCTCATATGCTTCATATATCTTTCAGACTTTGTGCATGTACATACAGGCATACGGATTTATGTATTTTAAAAACATTTTGTGCAGGGAACTTGCCCCTTGTTTTGAAAACTGTAGCATGGTGGCAGAGTGCTATGGTTCAACTCTGTGAAGTCACATTTCCTGAGTTCAGATTCCAGCTCTTGCATTACTGGTTTGTGGCCCTGGACAAATTCTCTCTCCATGCCTCAGTTTCCTTATGAGGAAGTGGGGATACTGTGGTACCTGTTTCAGGTGGTTTATGGAAAAGTGAATGACTTAAATGCCTATGTCGGGTAACCAGTTTGGATGTCTTTGATTTGACCTGTTTTATATTTAAATCCATTAACAACCCATGTAATTGGCATTTGCCTAAATGTTTTTATCTATTTGTAGAGCCCATTAAGGGCACCATTGTGGTCATCCGCTGCTCTTCAGACATAGCCTGCAGGAAGTGTTCTAGAGGAGCATTTCAAAACCTTGGGGAAAAGATGTATTGTTCAGTGACTGTCGTGGTCGACTAGATAACTCCTAGGAAGAAATGGCTAATTTCTTTATTAATCAAAATAAAACTTAGATGGAATTAAAGCAGTAGCAAGCTAGATAAAAATATCCTTTAATATTTTTGAAATCCTAGGATGAAGACTTTTCCAAACATGACCCTAAAGCCATAAAACATGAAACTACTGATGGACTTAAGAGTACATAAGTAAAATTTAAACTCTGTCCTATAAAAGAGTACCATTAACAGAAGAAGTACACTGGCTTTTTACCTAGAAAGATCATTCTGAGAATTTAATGATAAAGTTGGGAGAAAGCCCTGCGATCTCTCCTCTCCAGTGGTCACTGTAACAGGGTATATTGATTTACTAATTAGGCTGTGCTTTCACCTTATTGGCAGTGCAAGTGGCATCTGCCTGTCCTGCTGAGTAATCCAGCCTGGTAACTGAGGTGGGGTTTATTCAGCCTTCACTACAAGGGAGTTCCCTGTGGTTAGATAAACTGATCTGTTGCTGGGTAACTACAGGATTACTATGGTGGATGCTCACGAAGCCCATTGGAGAGGGGTACGGGTATTTGGAGGGCAAGGAGGGCGAGAAAGTTGGCAGGTTCCCGGGAGCACTGCAGCTTGGCAGAAGGAGAAATTGAGTACCCATCGCATGCTTGGGTTTAGAGCAGTTCATCTTCCCATCTGTACTTTGCCTTTTCGGCATTGGGCCTTGGAACAAAGGAAAAGGAGACGGGGAGCTGGCCGAGGGACGAATGGGTTTTGTTGAGGTGGCTCTTGTGACAGCAGGTGAAACCCCTGCAGGGTTGGCCTGAGGTTCTCCCACCTAAGGAAGAGGTCTGGGCTGGAAAATGCCACCTCTCTGCCTGCCTGCTGAACTCCGGAACCTCTGAGCGAGTGGACTGCTGGCTTTGCATCCGAAGTCAGAAGGACATCCACGAACGTGATGAACTAGCCTGGAAAGGCGGCGATGATAACTGAAGGCAAGTCGGACCCATCTCCGAGACGGCATTTCTGACAGCGTCCTCCTCCACCACGTGGGATCTCCTGTTCCCTCTCAGTGGCGCAACGTACACACGAGTGGTTGCCTTCCTCCACCCCGGAGCCATGGTGTTTGTGAAGGGACAGGTCTTGAGGAGCTGTGGAAGTGGCCCTTGGGTATGCGCCTGTTGTGCAGGCTGCATTCGTGGGTGGGGCTTTGGCTCTGTCGGGTGGACAGCAGCCTGGGAGCCCACACCACCTCTGTAGGCAGCTAGTGTATCAGTCACCCCAGAAAGACGCTGGTTCTTTATTTTGTCGTAGCAGTAGCAGGAACCATTGTTGAAGTGCTGGAGCTTGTGCTGGGGAGAACATTTTGACTGAAATTTTGCATATTTTGAAACTTAGATTGTTACATTTGAAATTATACACATTGTGAACCTGGCTTCAAACAAGAGGGAAGAGAAAGTATTCTTCCTGTCAGACCCTTCTCACTCTGTCACATAACCTGACTAAAAATAAACTTACAAGCACAGGAACTGGCAGCCTTCGGTTTGGAACAAGTTGAGTGCGCCCAACCGCAGGCCCTGTCTCCTGCCACTTCCCGACCACAGGTCAGCCATCGTGGCTCGGCCCTCCTTCAGGGACACGGGTGCACACAGTCCCCACGGGGCGGATGTCCCATGACGAGGCTCGCTGCTCTTTGGGAGGTGGTGGATGCTATTGGAAGAGCCCTGGCCCAGCTGTCAGGGGCCGTAGCACAGTCCTGGCTCCTGTGTGGCCTCTCCGGACCTCAGTTTCCTGATATTATGCGACCCACGTGCCAGCTGCCAGCTACCACCTTCTATGTCTTGATTTTATCTAATCCTTACACCTAGGAGCGCCATTCTCGGTGAGGAAACTGAGGCACAGAGCCTGAGTCACTCATTCCGTGTCCTCGGCTGATGAGTGACAGGTTCCAACCCCGACTTGTCCCCCCTCCACCCCGAGGCTCTGCTGTCTCCCCTTACTACTCCCTACTCGGTCACCTGGCTCCTGCCCCATTGTCCTGCTGAAGTGGTCCTTAGGAGACCACAGAGGCCCCCCGCTGTGTTCCACTCTTGGTCCAGCTGAGTCCTCCTGCCCCACCTGACGCTGCAAACTGTTCTCTACCCAGAGTCTGCCTCTCTGCCTCTGCACTTACCAGCCATGTGGTCCTGGGGCAGGTGACCCTCCCCGAGTCTTTCTGTCCTTGTCTGTAAATGAGGATAGTAACCAGACCCACCTTGTTGAGTGAGGATTATAGGAGGTCATGTACGTGAATCATCTCCCACAGGCCCCAGGAGCTCTTCCCTGTGTACTTCTCATCTTCTCACTGATCCTGCCCCGATGTGCTCACCCCATACACTCCTGGCCCTTAAATGTTACCTCCTCATCGTCCCCTTGTTTCAGCTCTTTTTTTCCCCACAGAGGCTGGCTTGAATGTGTCTTCTTGTATGTTGCAATAGAAAACACCACTGTATGACTGTCACCCTGTCCTCTGGTGTGATTGTAAACAGGTATTACTGCTGAAACTTGGTTATAATGGGTTTCTACAAGCTTTCAGAGTCAGGTTAATTTTTCAGTATTAGTCGTATTTCTAATTCTTGGGTTTTAAAGGCATTATGTTCCATTTATTTTGACCACAATTTCAGTTCAGTTTATTCTCGGATTACAGCGAAGAAAATGCCGTAAATGTAGTAGCAGAACGTGACGCATGTCTTTGTAAGAACTCCATGACACTGTATTATCCAGAGACCTTGCCATTGTGGTGCTGAAGGAATTGCAACAGGGAATTGTGGGTTTATTAGGAATTGTTTTGTTGTTGTTGCTTTGGTTAAAATCCTGTCTTAAGAAACATTATTTCACTCTTCAGTTTTCATAAACGTTCTTCTTATGTATGATTGAATATCTACAGATTTTCCCCTCTGATCTTCTGATCCATTGGTAAAATTGCTGTCTTCAAACAGTTATCAGGATTCAACATCTGAAATTGATTTTCAACCTTTGGCATTTTCCAAGTGGCTTAGTGTAGGGAGAGACCTCCCTCTGATACCCAGGTCTGTGTGGGCTGCAGAAGGCTGCTGGTCTAAGCCTAGATGCAGACGCTGACCAGGCTGTGCCCTGGGTTTGGGTTTTGTAGGGTCAGAAATTTGTTTACGAGTTTTTTCGGTTCATAAAGAGTTATCTGGCTGTCATCCCAGGCTTCACTGTGGGACCAGGAGGGCTGCATAGACTTTGCTGGGCTCTGCTCCCAAGGGCTGAGTCCTGAAGCCCTCAGGAGCCCATGAGGAGGCCAGTTGCTCTAAGCTGCTTAGGGGTTACTGGGAAGCCGCCTCGAGCTTTCCCTGCTTCGTGTCGTTGAGTGTGACGGTGGGTTTTTCCCTGTCCGTCGGCAAACTGCTGTATCATACACCTCATTTGGCATCAGAGCATGAGGGTGTATAGTTTTTTTTTTCCCCATGAAAACAACATAGAACAAAGCCTCACTTTTAAAAATGCCATGATATTTTGCCACCGTTATGAAAATCTGTCAGTGCCGTATCTAATCTTCTGGTGCATAGAATATCAAAACAAGTACTATTGAAGGGATTGTACTTCTGTTCATACAAAAATGTCAGCTTCACAGTCTCAGAACCAGCTGCTATCAGCCTCTTTCCAAATGGGAAAGAAAAATAATAATAAAGTTTCTTTTTCCTCTCTGCTGTTACTGTTCTTTCAGGCCTGGCCTTCATAAGAAGACCCAGAGTAAACACAGCCTTGCTGAAATCCTGCGTTCGGAATACTCCAGCGGCATGGAGCCTGGCGTCACCAAGGTCAGATAGCAAAACGCACCCGGGGAGCCGGGCGGCCGGCCCCTGCCGCCCAGTCTGCAGTCAACACCCTGCTTTGGCCGTGGGAAAACATTAAAATGGAGAAAAACCCAAAAACATTTACAGTGGGACAGCAAGACTTCCCAGAAAGTTTAAAATCTCTCCGTGCCTTCGAGTGGATCCTGGAAGCCCTGGGTGGCAGTGGATTGATGTCCTGTTCTTGTCAGAGGAGGCTTGTGACAAATAACTGCTGCCTTTCCCTGAATACCGCGTCCCCAAGAATCAGAGGGGCCACAGCCCTTCTCCTCCGTGGGAGGCCCTGGAGCCTGATAGAAATCAGTAGGGGGGCAGGGGGGCAGGTCGGCACCACAGAGGCTGGCCGGCTCCTGACAGAGGGGTCTGTGTTTTGTATTGAACCCATCAGTGCGAGGCATTCCCTTCACCCAGGTGCTGACGTGCAGGGGATGAGGTGGCACCCAGGACTTGATGTAAGAACATCCCTTGCGTCAGCCTGGAAGGGGTTGATTGCTGCCCTTAACTGCATTCTGAAGTTTCACAGCGTGACTTCAGCCCGTCTATCAGTGCGTACATTGGCATGAATTTTGTGAATTAGGGTGTTAAAAACTGGAATTGAATTTGTACGAAAAGAGAAGAAAACATATTTATCAGTAATTATTTTCTTGATGTTGGAATGTACTGTTAAAAAGGACCAAAAGTTTTTGGTTTGGGTCAAAAAATACGAATGTGTTTTCAGGCTCTCGGGCCGTCTTACTTTCTTCTGGAAACACGATGTTGTATTTACATGCATTGCTCCCTCTTTCATGTCCACAGAAAACTCACTCTCTCAGTCCTAATTGATTTACTGTTGTCTTTTTATTATTTGCCTTTGAAGTCAAAAGGCACCAGCATCCCGAGCTTTTTTCCCTATCAAATCCCGTCTTGTCTTCAAGAAAGGTCTGGGGGTCTTTGTGTTGTGACCCAGGCCACAGCTGCCCACTCCCCCCACCCCGGCATTGTGTTTTCTGGGAGGTTTGAAAGAGGCCCCCCAGAGCGTATTGATTTCCCAATAAATGTAAGATTTGGGCACTCACAGAGGGGTCCAGAAAAGAAAGGATCGGAGGCCTCTGCACCTCTGGGCACGGCTCCTGTCCTCCCCGCCTTCTCACTTTGCCTCTCTGCAGTGACTGTGCAGCTCTCTGTGGTCTCCCCAGGACGATTGTTGAGGCACCACTTCAGTAGATCCCCCCAGATCCACGACAGGCCTAGGTGGCCACGAGAGGTGGTGAGAGTTTGCGAGGTGGCCCTTCTGCCAGGACCAGGGCGAGGGTTAGCATCCTCGCCTCTGTTCTAGACACAGGTGAATGTCGGTAGGTACCCACACCGGCAAGGACTCCTGTGTGAGGGCGAGGAGGAGCCTAGTGAGACTGGATCCTCTGCAGGTGGAAAAATGGGACCTTCTCAGAGTTGGCTGTCACATACAAATTAACAGGGAATGTTGGTGACATTTCTAACAATAATAATAAAAACAACAACCCTGCAGCACATGTCAGACTGACTTTGCCACCTTTCTTTTATTTTGATGTGTAATGGTTCACGTGATCTGGATGGGACAAGGAGGGATCAAACTTTATAGACAAAACCCAGCTGTGTGAAAAACAGGATTAATGCCAGTGATTGGGGATGATCAAAGAGAAACCTTACTTTTTTTCCCCATAGTAGTCATTCCACTAAAGGGCGAATTGGCAGAGTTCTGCATCCCTGGGGGGAAAGAGAAGTGCTAGAATTGTGCAGCGTGTGAGTGATGATAGTTCTAAGATCAAAACTTACACACTTAATCTGCTAACTCCTAAGGTGAGGGTTTCTTGCCATAGATGCTATGTGGGCCTGTTTCTACGCAGAATCAATATATTACCCCAGTTAATAAAGAAACATGGATTTAACAGATTTAAGGTTAATATTGTTTAAATTTAAATAACCTTAAAATAAATCTCTTTATGGCTCTTGACAGATTATACATTTCAGGCATCAATTAGGCAAAGCTTTAGCCTAATTCCACTGTACATATTCTAATTTTTGTGTGTATGTTTAATCGTGCCTGTTCTTAAATTTTCCCAAACTCACCATGTCTGTATGTTGTAAGCCTGGTTCCCATATTTAAAGCCACACAGAATTTGGACGCTTAATAGAATGTTGTGGACTAAAAGCATTTCCCCCAAGTGGGCTTGTGGAATGTTTTTTTTGGAATCTAAAACATCCTCACGTTTGCCCCAGACTTAGCGGTAGAAGGGCCCCATTCTCAGGCACTGAAGGGCAGAGGGTCCTTAGTGAGAGATTAAGTCAGTGCTAATGTGGGGCAGACAGCCCCATCCAGTCTTAGACAAGCAATAAGCCAACCAAATCTCAGCAAAGGACTTTTGTTTAAAAAACAAAGCCCAGTGGGTTACTTTGATTTTTTTTCTTTTCCCCTGGAGTGAAGGGAGGTGAACTTTAGGGAAGAGGGGGAGTAAGGAAATAAGACCTTTCGGAGCAGGTATATTCCAAACTGCCAGAGGCCTCCCTGGCTTAGCCTTTCAGCTCTTCAGTACACAGTCAGTGGAAGCCATTAAAATCCGACCATTGCTTCGTAGAGACCGGAGTGTAAGGCTTTTCCACTGGAGAAGTTGCCCTGCTTGAAAAGGGTCTTGTTAAACCTCCCCCTGACTATTATACATTCTCTCTTAATCCGCTCCGTAGTAGGAAGAATTCAGAGCAAGGCCTGTCGGTGTGGGGTCAGTGGGGTACCCTTAAAATCAGCTCAAATTCTCAATTTGCCCCGTCCTCAATTTCCCTTGCGACTCAGGGCCAGCAGGGAGCTCTAAACTTCTTTTCAACTTTGTTGCCCCCACCCCGTAGAGTGGGCGTTTGTAAGGGGCAATGGATCAGTGGCGGAGCGGGGGAAGATGCCTTCTCAGCCCTCTCCTATTGTCAGGCCTGTTGGGGTCCTACATTCATTCTCTTTTTTCTTACGTGAGAGTTCGCCCAGCCTCAGGGTTGGGAACAGAAACCAGTTTAGCCTTCTAAGTGGATGGAAGGCAGGAGCCCACCTTGCTGCAAAGGTTGTGAAGTTATTATTACAGATGGGATGTGCAGGACAATGTAAAATATTCTAATTATAAACTTGTAGGGAAGCCTTGTTCTTCATTAATGTAAGATATGAAATCGCCTCTGAGGTACAAGGACAATTACATAGTTGAGAATGTGCCTGTGATTTACACTGCCACTGTGTAAATGTGAGGGTGGTTGCTGCAGTCTCTCTCCTTCACTTTCACAAAATGAAAAGCACACCAGTGCAAGTTGTCCTTTGATAGATTTTTAATATGATTTTAAAGAGTTTTGTTTGGTCTCATTCTTATTCAATGAGATTAATTTAAAGCACTTATCCCCTGGGTTTAAGTCAATCCATGTAGGATTTGGGCAGGGTTTGTTGCATGGGGGGTTTTGTTTGCAGGAGGCTATGAGAGACTCCTTTCCCACTTCATTAACCCTGAGTTGGGGACAGTCTCCCCTCGCCCCCCACCAGAGCCAGAGCTGGGGATTTACCAACCCCCATTCACATGCAAAAGAACTCGAAAGCCGAGGGGCTCCTTGACTTAATTAGCTGCTGTGCATTTTGCAAAATTAGAATAATACCCTCGCCATTCCGGGAAAGAAAGCTGCTGCGCGAGGGTGTTTGGGGGCAGGGAGGAAACAGCAGCCGACCTGGCTGTGGGTCTGATGTTGGAGAGGGGTTATAGTCTGAACACGGCCCCCATCTTCAGAGAAACCCTGCCCCCCAAACTAGAGGGGCCACGGCTTGCCGGCCCCCAAAACTTCCCAGCGCTGAGGGTTGGTGAGCTGCAGGTGGTGTGTGGGAGGGGAGCACCTGCGCCCACCTCCCCAGAGAGGGAACAGTCTCAGGTGACTGTGGCCCTTTGAACGTGAACTGAAGTCTGGAGTCTGACTCGGGATTTAAACCCCTCTCCCCCGAGATGCTAGAGCGGCAGCCTGGAGCAGCCAGAAGAGATGCGGCAGACGCTGCTATCTGGCTCCCTTCTGGGTCTCATTTCCAACCTACTCCCGGGGTACAGGGGAGGTGAGAAGATGTGGTAGTTGAGGGGTTACCCGATGTGGCGCCTGGTTCGCAGCGAAGGCGCGCGGAGTCCTGCCTGGTGCGGGAGGCCCGGAGGCCGGAGCCGCCTTGGCGCCCGCGAGCGTCGGGAGCCCGAGCGCGGCCGGGCGCGCGGCGGAGGGTGGGAGTGATGGGGGGAGCTGCCTCGGAGCCCATCTGTCGGCCCGCGCCCGGCAGGCCGGTCACCAGCTGCCGGGGCCCTTGACGCGGCCAGATGAGTCGGCTCGGCGAGGGCCCCGGAGCCCGGCCCGCAGCCGACCGAGGCCCTTAGCGGACCCCCGCCCCGGCCCCGGGGACCGTCTGGGAGCCGCGAGGAACCAGATGGAGCCGAGGGGGAGGAGGGGAGGAACGGGCTCGCCTCGCCGTAGAGATGGGAAGACTGAGGCCAGGGAGGGGAGAGCCCGGCCCCAGCGAGTTTCGTCGGGGCACCCGCGCAGGTCCACTGCACCGGGGAAGGGAAGGGGGACAAGAAGGTTTTGTTATTGAGAATGGAAGGAAACCGAGTGCCCAGGAGAGGGATGGGAGAGGGGTTGAGTGCGGACCGAGCGACGGGAGCGCGGACAGGCGCCTGGTCATTTGTAAGAAGTTTATTTCCACATTTAAAAAAGAGAGAACCCGAGAGGCCTGGCTGCCCCGGGACCCGGGCTGAGGCTGGGGGCTGGGGTCGGGGTGGGTGGGTGGGCAAGCACCCTCGGCCCCTTCCTGCCCCGCCTGGGAGGGGGGAGGGCACAGGCCACAGACTCACTAATCCACGGACACGGTCACGGGCTCATGGGTCACGAATAAATAACTTCATATACACTTTGCACACGGTATGTACAGCTCAGCCGCCGGCCCAGGCGCTCGAGGGCCAGGGAGACGGGACGGGGCTCCGCACTCTCCTTCTCTCCCTGGCAGGGGCGCGGGGAGAGGGGCTGTTCTCCTGGAGCTTGGAAGGGGCGTGGGAGAGAGCGAAGCCTGGGAATCAGTCGCACCTGCTCCTGGGCAGAAAGGGGCGCCTAGGGGAGCCGGCAGAGACTGGGGGCGGAGAGGGGCAGAGACACGTAGGTACACTCGGCGGGTGGGGGTGGCTCCCGGACGGAGCGGCCGCGAAAGAGGACGCCGAGGGGGCTGGGGAAACGCTGTCCGGGGTCCGGGCCTCAGTGGACTTGGCATTTGGCCCTTCAGGGGACACTGGGCTGGGGCGCCAGGGAGGGCCGGGCAGGGTCCCCTCCCAGGAAGGGGCGTCGAACCCGCGCCCTCCGAAAGGCGGGCAGAAGGGGTCGCGCCAAGACCCCGGGAGGAGGCCCCGGAGCGGGCGGGCGCCTCATCGAGGCTGCGCAGCGCGCGGGAGGACGCCGGCGAGCGGGGGCAGCGGCGGGGGCGGCTCGCTGGCGCCCTGGAGTCCGTGGATGAGGATGCGGGGCACCAGAGGTCTCTGGAGAGCGGGCGGAGGCGCGCTGGGGCCGCGGTACAGATAGAGCGCCGCGCCGGGGTCCAGGTTGGAAACCAGACTCTGCGGGTAGAAATAAGGCGACGGGAACATCCGCTGGAGAGCTGAGTAATTGCCTGCCTCCGCCAGCAGCTCCAACCCGACGGCCGTCTGTCGCTTCCATTTAGTCCTGGGGGCCAAAATAAACGCGTATAACGGGATCAGGACTAGGGCATCTGGCGACCCCAGCCCCTCCCCACTGCTTGGCCCAGAGAGCCTGCAGGGAGGCCAAGAGGTATCATACTCATTTGTAAAGAAATAACGGAGTGCTAGGCACCATCACACGCCTTACAACCATCCTCTCCTTTTGTCTTCCACCGGCCTTCCATGGCTATTATCCCATTTTACAGAGAGGAAAACTGAGGTCTGGGCCGCTTTTCAAGAAGGCCTCAAAAGCAGAGGAGCCCGGGTTTTAAGCCCTGCTGTCTGACCCCAAACCCCGGCTCTAACTGCTTCTTACCCTCCCCAGGAGATCGCAGAAGGAGCACTTGGAGCTTCGTAGGGGGGCTCCTCCCTGCACGTGCCTCTTTATGCAGGTGGGATCACCCTGGAGAGGGCTGTGGGGATCCAGGGGCTCTGGTCAGGGAAGGGGATGCTGTTGATTCCTCTGCAGGCTGGCCAGGCTGCAAGCTAGCAGAAGGCCTGAAATGGCAACCGGAGAGGATGCGCTCCCAGCTCGTACACTCTGCCGCCCTCCGAACCCAGGTCCAAGTCCTGGGGCAATCCCTGCCCACTGTCTGGCCCCAAAGTCCAGAGGCCTTGGCCAGCCAACGGGTTTGGAGAAGGCAGACCTGGACCCCAGGCCCACCTGCCAGGGTGGAGCCTAGGTGGACCAGCCGGGGTCCCACTAAGGTGGGCTCAGCCACAGCAGCCCTGTTTCCCTCCTTGAATTATTCATCATCATCATAATTGTGTAATTACTGTAACAGGCCTTAATTATTGATGCCTGGAGCAGTAATCAGTATTTATTATTAATGGGGTGATGTGTTCTGAGGCTTGTTTATGAAAAGCACCATTCCTGCCTCTGCTAAGAGCATGCGAGTGACTGGGGCTAAGTGTGAGTGCATGTGTGATTGTAAGTTGTATCGATGTGTGCATCAGTGTGTCACTGGTTGTGTGGATGCATGTTTTGTACATGTGCATCTAAGTCTGATGAGTGTGTTCAGAAGGGAAGTTAGGAAACAGGTTCAAGTCCAGGGCCCCAACACCAACTTCCCAGTCACCCTGTCCCCAAGGAGCAAGGGCTTGGCCAGTTTCCCGCTCAGGTCTTGGGACCAGAAAGTCCACGGAGGCCTGAAGAGACTCGCGGAAGCTCAGAGGCCCCTGTGGCAGCTGCCCAGTCTGGGACAGGCTTTAACACCCCAAGGACCACTGCCTGGCTGTCCTCTTCACAGGCTTCCTGGGAGTGAGACTGTCACCCCTCCCGGGTCCTGGGGCTTCTGAGACCCAGGCCGGTTCAGGTGGAGGCTCCAGGCAGACCCCCCACCACCCTCCAACTGAGCAAAGGCAGGACTTGGATCTCCAGTGGCCTATGTGTCTGTCCACCCACCCTGGGGAGGACTGACTGGACACTGGAGACCAAATGCAGTCTCATCTCTGGCCCTCACTATGGGACTTCAGGCAAGGCCTTCTCCCCTTAGGGCCTCAGTTTCCCCACTTTTACAGAATGGGGGAGGCTCAGGGGCCCTCCCTTAGTACCAACCCGTAGACTCCTGGCCCCCTCTTGGAGCTGTAAGAAAAGGGGAAGTTCCCTTTCTGCCCCTACTCCCGCAGCCGGGCCTCACCTGCGGTTCTGGTACCAGGTCTTGACCTGCGTGTCAGTGAGGTTGAGCGAGGCCGCGAGCTCCATGCGGTCCTGCACGCTCAGGTACTTCTGCCGCTCGAAGCTGCGCTCCAGCTGCGCCAGCTGATGGTCGGTGAAGGCCGTGCGCGCCTTGCGTGGCTTTTTCAGGCGCACCGGGGGACTGTCCCTGGAGCTGGAGATCTCGCGGTCGCCCTCCTCCTTCACTGCGGACACAGCGGCATGTCAGGGCCCGGCCTCGCGGCCGCCAACACCCTCCCGCTCCTGCCCGTGGCGTTTGCGTAACCGCGGCTTCCGACTACGGTGGTTTCACGACACTCAAGCTCACCGGGGCCTCTCGGAGCCGGGACCTCTGAGGCCCCAGGAACAGGACATGAACCCTGACTATAGAGGACTAAGGCGGGAGCGCCCGAGGCCGAGATCCCCGGGCAACTCCGGGGAGAAAGAACCCGAAACTGGCGAGAACTCCAGTCCCTGCGCCGCACTCGGCGCTGCGCCCGCGCTCCCGGGAGGGATAAACGGAGCCGCGACGATGGAACCGGACTCAGCCTGCCAGAGTAGGGGAGGAGACCCGAGGTTTCTGGCGGAGTGGGCTCCGCGTCTGGGTCCCAATTTCCCCGGCTGCAGCAGTGACAGGAAGGGAGGAAGCTAAAGGCTGGGGTCTGGGGAGAGAAACCTGCGTGGAGGGACAAAAACCTGCTCTCCCCGAAGCCACTCTTTGTCCTGAAGGACAGATCCTTGTGCCCCGCCTGGCGTTGCCCCCATATGGATACGAATTCGTAGCGATGATTTCTCCTGGCACTTTCAACTTACACAGGGCGCTGGGCAGAAGGCGCCGGGTCTGAGAGCACTTGGAGGAATAAGCGACTGTGCCGCTCGCTTGCCCCTTGGGCGCAGCGCGCATTGCCCAGGTCTGCGTTTCGTTGTCATTACATTGCCCACTACTTTGCTCCTGCTACACCTGCGTGGCATCGTGTGTTTACGCCCCACAGTGGGGACAGAACTGCACCGGAGTCCCAGTTCCTGAGGTTGAAAGATAGACCTCACACGGGTAGCTTCTTTATCCCAAACACTTTTGATCGGCTTTGACTGGACAGAAAACACTTAATCGAACAAACTCAATGCTCACTCTTGTCTTAAACGATTATATAATCAACTAGACCACTTCCCCAAATTTGGCGGCTTAGACTGGGGCTTTCCCCCAACCTGCTCCCTTTTTTTATCTATTTTCCCAACCTACTCCCTTCTCTCTCTCTCTTTTTTTTTTTTTTTATGGTGAGTTTCATTGTGCGTGGCGTTTGCAGTGACAGGGTTCAGCTGAATGCAAGGTGATTTCTCTCTGTAGGAAACAATAATCCAGTTAATTGAGCCACTAGGGATGGAGACTTTTCACTGGAAAGGCAGCGCTTCGCAGCAAGGAGGGCCCGGCATCCAGCCTGGTGAGCCAGGAGAGCGCACAGAAGAAACGGCAGGCTAAGGCTTTCCACCTACCTCCTCCAGGCTGGAACCAGGCTCTCCCTGCCCTGTGGGCTCCCCATCTTTGGGCATGGCCACCATCAGGAGAAGGGGATATATTGGGATGGAGGGACATGAGTCCTGTCTGTGCAGACAGCTGAAATAAGTTTGAGGAAGACATCCACATCTCAAACCTGATACCGTAGAATTGTTACTTTTTGACCTAATTTCCTGCGCTACTTAACGAAAGTCCCCCACTTCTCAAGGACGAGGTCTGTGTTGGGGGTCGGGAGGTGTTGCGTTTGTGATGTCAGGAAGAATGGGTCAGCTGATGGGGCTTTTCTTCTGTTCCTCCTCCAGCGTGGGCTGGAGCCTTTGGGTGCACATTCTGTGCCCGCTCTGCCTTGGCCTCCTCCGGGATAGGCTCAGCCCAGGGGGCCCTGGCTTCCCAGACTCTGGTCTAGAGGGTACATCTCAGTATCCTCAAGTTCCGGGCCCATCCACCGACCCTGCCTGCTGGGAACAAAACTCTGGTGTGGGTTCTCCATGGACCTTGCATCCAGCTGTTAGTGTCGCCGACCGCCTTACTTCAAAGCTGAGTTTCGGCTTCTTTAAATATTATCGAAGGAATATTGTTTGAGGAGCCTTTATAGCAGAAACTTGGGATGAGGCTGAACTTCCTCTGTGTCCTCCTTAAAGGAAATGACTCAGCTTGGAAGGTGGCAGGAGAGTGGGCCAGCTTAAATGCCCACGGACTGGCTCCAGTTGTCTGTTTCTCAGCTCTGAAAAAGTCCCCTCCACGTTTGAGAAATGCTCCAGACAAGGCCTCTTGGTCTTGCCCTGCTCCTTTCTTTACTAGGTGCAAAGGCAGCAGCACCTGCCGTGGGGGTTGGGCAAGACCTTCTACCCCTTTCGCTCCAAACCTATTTAAGCAATATGTAGACAGCTGGCCCTCATCACCTCCCGATCAGATATCCTCAGAGACAGGAGAAGAAAATTGATATTGTAATTATCTTAAACGAAATCTCTCCTCAAAATCCTTCCTGGGGGCAAAGAAATAAAAGGAGGCAAGGGCCAAACTGTTTTACCACCGCCAGTTCCAGCCGTTAGCACGGACGGTGGAAGATTTGTCTCCTTTGCTCTAACTAAAGAGGGGCCGTTCTTGTTGCAATGGTAAATAAGAGCCATGATATTATGAATATATATTTACATTGACGTCCTCCTCCCTCCTTCTCCCCCTTCCCCTTGCCTGTGTCTCTCCAGGGTAAGTTTTCTTTGCCTTTCTAAGCAGGCCCCCAGGGAGGAGCAGGGGCCACTGGGCCCAGGTGCCAGCCTCTGGATCTCCTCCTGGCTGCTCCGCTAAACCTGCCTATTTTCCAGGCATGGTCAGCGCAGCCTGGCTGAAGGAGGCTAGGCCATTTGTGTGGAGGAAATCAAGAAAATTGGATGTGCAACAGGACCAACTGGTTTCGGTTTGGAGTCAGGACATATCCACAAATGAATTCTTGGTTGGAAGGAGAGTGTTAAATGAGCCTTCCTACATTTTTGTGAAGACTTGGTCCAAATAGGGACCAGGAGTTATGAGGGATTGGGGAGGCAGGGCAAGACAATAAAGAAGTTGCCCTTACAGGGAAATTTTGTCCCTTGAAAAGATTTCTGGGAATCAATTACATGCTTGAAAAAGCTCTGAACAGCCTCTGCCCACTCCCAGTGTTCTGCTAGATGGGGATGCAGGGCTGTCTCCTACGAAGCCCTCATATTCCTCCTCACCTTCTGCCCCTTGACATCTTCCTTAGAAAGAACTTTATGCCTCTGGCTTTGAGAAACAGCTGAAGTGGAGGTAGTGGCTGGGGGTCAGAAACAAAATTAAAGCATCCTTTTTTTCCTTCTTCCCTTTCTCTTCTTCCTTCCTTCCTTTGGGACCCACCCTTCCTTCTTTCCTTCCTTCCTTCTTTCCTTCTTTCCTTGCTTCCTTCTTTCCTTCCTTCCTTCTTTCCTTCTTTCTTACCTTCCTTCCTTTTAACCCAGATCTCATCTCCTTGGTTAAGATGGTATGAAAATGGAATTAACACAACAAAGATTCACAGAGGTGAAAGAAAAGTGGAGGGGCAACAACCCCAGTGTATCGGGAGACAGGGCTGGTTACTCAGGAATCCCTGGAGCTTGCACAAAACCTGGAGTTGGTTGCTGAAGGCACTTAAAATCAAATTCAATGAGAGCCGTTGAGGGTGGGGGTGCCGGGTACTCTGCTCTCCACCAGCCCCCCTGACCTGCTCCCAGGAAGCTGCCTGGCTGAGGTTTCTGCTTTGAAGTGAGTGCCTCTTTTCATGACTCACAGGACCCGTATCACACTGGGCCCATTGGGAGGAAAACCCCAGTTTCTCTTCCTATCTGGAAATGTAGATTAAAAGAAAGAAAATTCTGACTGTTCTTAAGGCTCCAGCTGAAATTTTTCTGCTGTATTTTCACTCTTATAAAGCAGAAGACTTTGGGTCTTCCATTTCTTCTGCAAGGTTTCTTCCTAGAGAGCCACTGGCCTGATTGGAAACTGCTCCTGTCCACCAGCACTGCTCGAAGGGCAGGGGTCCCAGACAAAGTTCAGAAAGTTTGCTTTGTGCATTTTTGGGGATCTCCACTTGGGCACACAGTATCCCTCCCCTGCCCCCACTCTCTCCACCAGACTCTTTGTTGCTCAAAGGCATAACCACAGGACTGGCTGAAAGGTTCGGAGAAGACCCACTGCTCAATCTGAGCCCTGGGGGAGACCCCAGGTGAGTGAGTGTATGTCTCACCATGTGCACTCATTTTAAATGCCAGTTTGTAAATACGTAACATTCCCCCAAGTTTTCACCTCCTGCTTTCTTACCTTTATACTCTGAGTCCGACGAGGCGTTGCTGCCACTTTTGTCCAGCTTGTCTCTAAAGTCCTCCCCAGTCTTGGCCGCAAGGCGGCCCCCAGGCTCAGGGGCTGCCGGCTGCCCGCTGCTAGAGTAGGGTGCACAGGCCGCTAGTGGTTTGCAGTCGGCAAGGATGTCCCTGATCAGAAAGGAGGAGGTGACGGTGCGCGACTGTGCCGGGGCTGAGAGCTGCCCGGGCTGCAGGTGGGAGTCCAAACCTGGGCCGGATGCCCCGCCAGGCCGTGGGGTGCCCGTCTCCAGACAGTCCCTTCCTGGAGAGGCTGGCGAAGAGCAGTCGCTGCTGCTCTCTGAGCGTGGACTCAGCTCCAGGGGCGAACGGCAATCCCCGAGCAAGGGGTCCCCCTTGGGAAGGGCGGGGCTGCCGGCGCGGTGGGAGAGAATGGAGTCGATCCCAAAGCCATTGGAGCCTTCCATAGCCAAGCTGCGACCTGTCCTCCTCAAAAGCTCCCCACCCACCCCCAACCCCAGCCGCCGCTGCCCCTGCCCCTAGCTGCGGGCTGGCATGGGGAAGGCGGGCAGGGAGCCTGCGGGCACCTTGGACGGAGTTCAGCCTTGGGGGAGCCGGGGAGCTCTGGGCCAACCTCCTCTGCGCATTAGATCCAAAAGGGCTCAGTGCGTCTTCTGCAGCATCGCGCCGAGCCGCCGAGCCGAGGGGGGGTGGTGGGAGTGTCAGGGAGGAATGGGAGGGAGGGCGCGCCAAGTTGGGGAGAGCAAAGGGGGAGACGGACGGCCCGAGGGCCCCCTTGGCACAGAAGAAACGCAAGGATGTTGGAATCTAAATAAAGAATGGCTTTTTAAAAATCCAAACCGCACGCTTCTTCCAGACAAGCGGTGGCCGAGCGCAGCGAGGTCAGCACCGCGGATAGCAGCGGGCCCCGGCCGCGCTAGCAACCGGCGGAACGAAGCGCACCTGGCGGCATCAGCACCGCGGAGAGCGGCAGCGGCGGCGGCGGCCCGCGGCTCATGACGCTCCACCTGGCCGGGGAGGTTCTCTCTCCGCGCCCTCGCCGCTCCGGGGGCCCGTCAGCACCGTGGACAGCGCCTCCCTGCTCCTTGGCGGCAGCTCTCCGCAGGTCCGCGCGCGCCTTCTCCTCCCCCCCTTCCTTTAAAAAATGAACTTGTGTCACTTTTACTTTGGGTCTGGTTTTTTTTTTTGTTTCTTTCTTTTTTTTTTCGTTGTGTTGTGTTTTTTTTAAAGGGGACTCGCCCACGTGTCCCCGGAGTGATGACGCTGATTGGCTCTGGCCGATTTTGGGGGTGATGTCACGGCTCCGCAAGCCGCTGCCCGATTCCCTTTCAGTCTGATTAAAAGAGACACTGAATTAATTACAGCACAGACCCAACTGTTTACCGGCGATTTCCACACGGTTTGCTTTCATTAGGCCGGTGACGAAGCTCCTAATGAGGGTGATTAGCCGAGGGGGGTACGGCTGGCGGGGAGGGGGCCAAGCCGGCTGCCGCTGCGGTGGGCTGGGATGTGCGCTGGGCTTTTTTAGTGCTCCCCGACCCTTTCCCACAATTATCCAAATTATTCGTCCGAAGATCTGTCTGGATCCTTTTTCTTCCTCCGTTTTTCTTCCTCCAGCCGCAGAAAGGGACTAAACCCAGAGGAGAAAGAAGTGTGTGTGTGTGTGTGTGTGTGTGTGTGTGTGTGTGTGTATTCGCACGCGCCAAGAACCCCTTTTCTAGTGTGGGGAAGAAAATTCAAGTTATGTTGTTTGGGGCGTTTCTGTTGGGCTCTCGGTGTTTCCCCTGTGGGACAATTTGCAGTCCTGTCTCTCTGCCCTCTTGGGACCCTGTGGGCCTGGAGGGAGTGGGGAAAGCCAGGTGTCTGCCCGGGAAGTGACCAGACGATGGCTTCACTTCAGGGCGAGGTTGGAGGACTCGGGAAGATGGTGTCCGGGACGTTAGGGAGACCTCGAGAAATCTGTGTGGCCCAAGGGAGGCAGCGAAAGGGACAAAGGAAATAGTAAACCCCTCTCCCCACCGCTGATGGCCTCTCCCATGGGCACCTCCTGGGGGGCTGGTGCTGTTGTACCTCTGAACAGGATCCGCGCTAGAGCTTCCGAGTGCGAGTGTAGATGCCTGCTAACGGCTTCTGATTCCACGCAGAGCCAGAGCTCGTCCGGGGATGCATTTTCAAGGCAGCTCTGGAAACGTGGCCTTTTCATTGTGAATCAGGTGCCCCCTCGCCCTTCCCGCACCATCAAGGGCTCCAGTTCAGCGCCTTTCTAGGGTCGGCCCCGGGTGTTGGGGCCCAGGACAGCCAACAGATCCGAAGTGTGTCCCGGGCCTGGATCCTGCTCTGCACAGCCTCAGGGATCGCAGCCCGGGTCTGCGGCTAAAGGGCCTACAGAGAGGAGTCCGAACGCCTGCATCGAGGCGGGGCGGGTCAGAAGCGCCCTTTTCCCGCCGCATCCCCGGGAAGCCAGGCCTTTCCAGGCCTGCCCGTGTGCCCCTGCCACCACCCCCAGCCCCCAGGAAACCACCCCGGCCCCTACTTCGGGCTCAGCGTCCGAGACCGCAGCAAATCATGAGGCACCCGCATGCCCCCCCAAACCCAAAATTCTCCGGCGGGCAGCCCCGCGCGGTCGGGTGGGGCAAAAACTTTTTCTTCCCTCTGGCTAGGTCGGCTGTGGCCTCGCGCCCAGCTCCCCGCGCTCTCCCCCTGTGCCCGCCAGCAGATTGGAAGCGGCCCCGCCGCCGGCCGGGCTGGGGGTAAGGACGGGCGGCTCCCGGGGGACTGTGGCCCGGCTCGGCTGCAAGCTGTTGGGGAGGCGGGAGGGCGGGAGGCCCAGGCCAGGGATCGGCGGCGGCCGCTGCAGTGGGCGCCTCCCGCGGCGGGCCGGGCCGGGCCGGCCGCTTATTTCAGTTTGGTGGATGGGGAGGGGGCCATAAATCAAGAGGACAGCGGGCTGCCCTGCCTCATCCAGGCCAGCCCCCAGCTTGGCCTCGCTCCTGCTCTGGGCATCTCTGGAGACCCCACTTCCCTCCCCATCGGCCACTCCACCTCCTGTTTCCAGGCCTGCACCGGCATCCCCGGAGGAATCTCATCTTTCCTGGAGCACCGAGGTCCTCACTGAAAACGACGGCGAGCCCTCTCTGCCCCACGACCCGCCTGTCAGCCAGGGCGATGTCCCTGGCGGAGCATCCACGGGACGCCTGGTTCCCAGAGCGTTGGCATCCTCCTCTGCCCCGGGTGGTCCCTAGCCGCCCATCGCCAAGGCGACAAGCAGCTGGCAACGCCAGGGCCTTTTCTGGCCTTTGGCTCTTGGGTTGGGGTTTGGATCCCGGACCCAGCGAAGACAGTGAAGCCTCGGAGCGAGGGGAGCCGCGATCGACTGAGAGCAGCCGGCAGTGAGGGTGGCTCCAACCGCTCCCGCTCCCGGTGGGAAAGAACAGCCAAGCCCGACCTCCTGCCGCCCCAGCCGGTTTTGCCCGACTTCTTGGAGCCCAAGAATATCAGCAGGTTGTCAGTACACTATCATTAGTGTTACGTTACCCGCATCTATTATCATCTAAAACGTGCGGTGCGATTTTTTTCGTTTGAAATTTACTCTAGGATTTAGCCCTCTCTTAATCGTTTTATTCCGATTTGGGGATTTGCAGCCCCATGCAGATGCCTCGTCTCTGATTTTCCCATTTTCGGGGTGGGTCTTGCATCTCACCCTGTCCACAGCCGAAGAGGTTTTTGGGCGCTCACCTGAGCTCCTTTTTAGCTGGGTAGAATCCCAGGAACTGGTATTTTACTCATATCCAGGGAGCCCTGAGTCCACCCTACCTTCCCGTCTTTGGGAAAGAAGCCTGGCTAGTCGGGTGGGACATCAGGGCTTCCAGGTCTAAAGGAGCTGGGGGTGAGCCTCAGCAATAGGCTCAACTTCTCTGAGCCCCTGGTCACACAGCAGAAGTCAGGCCCCTCTCCCCAGCACCCACTCCCTGACCTCAGCAATTCTTGGTCCCCTCCCCAAGGGCCTGGCAGGGGTGCATTGGGAGCTTCAAAAAAAAAGGAAATTAGTGTGATAAGGGTGCATCCAGGGCCAGGGTCCCCAGGATCATTCAGTCTTAACCAAGAGCCAGAACTGCCACCCCAGTGTCCAAGTTCCATTTTCTCTGGGCTCTCTTTTCAGGCCCCCAACTCCTCCCACCCCCAGCTTCCCACTTCCTCTTGAAATGACTCGCTTCCAATTCCAGTCCTTGCCTGCCCAGTCCTTTGGTGTTGCTTTCTTTTAGACCTTTAGCCTCTTGACGGACTTAGACCCCTAGCAGGTCTAAGGCCTCCCACCCACACCCAGAGAACCGACCACAGAGAAACAGCTATTGCTCTTCTCCAGGGGCAGGGGAAGCAGGTGCATGGAGAAGCCCCCAGAAGGCTCTGGTGTTGCCCCCGCTTTGGACAGCTCATCTCTCTTGCCTAGACCTCGGCTTTCCCTTGGGTACAAAGGCATTAATATCGGAATGTGGCAGTGAGGGGCAAGGTTGAGAGAGTCTCCCTGGTTGTTTAGAAGCCACCTGGCTGTAGAATCCACATCCTTCTTCTCCACCTGGGGCTCTTGGCTTGGGTTTGGCTTTGGGTCAGTGATGGACTTGGGAGAGCCTGAGCCCCTTGCTAGGTCCTGGCTCTTAGCAACTTTCTCCCAGCCCCACCTTCCTCTCCAGGTAAGAGCTCTCAGCCCTGGAGCTAGCAAATGGGTTGTTTCTGCCAGTTTTGCTCACCTAGCTCCCCAGGCAGAGCCACACAGAGCGATCTGCCCAAAGCTTTTTGAGAATGATCCCAAAGTGCTCTCTCCTCCCTTATGAATGGTGGCTTAAATGCAGGGCTCATACTAGGGCTGTTCAAGCTTCTGCATAGCTGGGTCTAGGGGTAGCATATGGGCTGGGGGTGTTGAGGACAGACTCGGAATTGGTCAGACTTGAGTTCAAATTCTCTAGACTCTAGAATCCAGGGCTGGGACTGAGATGAAGGAGATGAGGCAGGTCATGTAAGACGTTATTTAAAATGATATTTTGGGCCGGGCGCGGTGGCTCAAGCCTGTAATCCCAGCGCTTTGGGAGGCCGAGGCGGGTGGATCACGAGGTCAAGAGA